AAGCCTGTAATGGACGAGTTTTGTCATCTTTTTCGTCGATTTGCTCCGAAATTTTGACAGGCACGTGACTGGATATAAGACAGTTTCAATTTACAAATCACGTGCCTGTCAAAGTTTAGGAGCAAATCGACCAAAAAGATGACAAAAACGAATTCGGCCAGTATGTTTTGGAATAATATACCAACACATATTTTTATAAACACGGTTTTGATAGCGTTGTTATAAAAGAAGTTTTCGTTCTTTGTTCAGAAAAAAGAAAAGAAAAGAGAGGCAAATATAGCCGAAGACCATAATTGTTAACGCACTCTCGAAATATGTTTAGGGTTCGAGACGGCATTAGTTGTATACCTTTCAAGTGTTTGAAACACTCGAGCTACTCGCTCCGGTGTTTAGTAGCCCCCGATTTGCAGGGAACAGATGCGTGGTGCAACAAACACTTTTCGAAAGGAATAAGCGCGTGAAGCCCCGGAGCTGTTCCGGGGCTCCTCCTAGGTGTGAAAGGAATACAACTATTGATAAAACTCTGAAAATTTATGTGTCGAAATTTTTACAAAAAAGTACCAGATTTGAAGTCAAACCTACCAACGTACTAGATTCTTTGAAAAGGTACTAGATCTAGTACAATTGTACTAGATTGGCAACGCTGCCCAAGAATCTCTCCCAGCCCCCCCACCCGGTGAAAATTCTGAAATTTGATCATGCTCATTTTGTTCTCCGAGTTTTGCTCCATTTTGCTCCATGATCGGCGAGTTTTGCTCCATTACCAGGAATGATCTACAGAGCTCCGAGGAATCTCTCCTAGCCCCCCCCCCTTCCGGTAAAAATTTTGAATTTGAACTTTTGAGTTCCAAAGAATCTCTTCTTGCCCCCCAGTGAAATTTTTGAAACTTGAAATTACTCATATCGAGTTTTGCTCCATTTTGCACCATGATCAGCTCGTTTTGCTCCATGACGAGCCATTTTCGGATGCCAAGCTTTGAGCGCTCAGCGCTTTCGAGTTAGTCCGAAGTACTCCGGCTACAATTTTACACATTCGAGCAAACAGAGTTTGGCGCTCTCAAGCTGCTCTCACTTTCCTCGCTTGTTTCCCCTGATGCATTTTTATGATTTTCAAGCGTTCGAGTGCAAAGCGCATTGAGTGTAATGGGCTTGAAATGCTCCAGGTGCTTCGCACACTGCACCCGAAAGCGGCTCTGGAATGAACTACACAGCTCCCAGGAATCTCTCCTTAAAACACGTGTGAAAATTTTGGAGTTTCTATATGCGCAATTTTGTTCTCCGAGTTTTGCTCCATTTTGCTCCATGATCGGCGAGTTCTGCTCCATTACTTGAGCTGCTTTCAGGTACTCAGGCGCTCTGAAGCTACTCTCATTTTCCTCGCCTCTTCTTCCTGATGCACCTGTAATTGATTTTCAAGCATTTGAGTGCAAAGCGCATTGAGTATAATGGCCGTATTATTTGTTGTCCTTGTCTAGTCAACAGGCTATTAAGTATATCTCAATCGTTTTGATAGGTTTGATAGGTTCATAAAATCTGTCGATATCGGTTCTGTCCCATTGTCTTCCTCTCCCCTTTCAGACGTCGTCCGTCATGATCCATGCTGTGGGCTTCAACAAAGGCGGAGCACTCGTTCTCATGGAAACGCTGCTCCCCTGTTTCAAGAATAAGGACCCTAGAGGTCATTCCAGGTAATGGAGCAAAACTCGCCGATCATGGAGCAAAATGGAGCAAAACTCGGAGAACAAAATGAGCATGATCAAATTTCAAAATTTTCACCGGCGGGGGGGCTGGAAGAGATTCTTGGAAGCTCTGTAGGTCTCTTCTGGTAATGGAGCAAAACTCGCCGATAGTGGAGCAAAATGGAGCAAAACTCGGAGAACAAAATGAGCATGATCAAACTTCTGAATTTTCACTGGGGGGGGGGGGGGCTAGCGTTAATTCAGCCCCCCCCCCCACCGAATAGGCCACATAGTCTCTCCACTGTAATGGAGCAAAAATCGAAATTAGTGGAGCAAAATGGAGCAAAATGAGAGCAAAATTATGGGATAATTTTCATCCAGAAATTTTCTTTGGGGGGGGCTAACTTAACTGACCCTTAATATTTTGAGATATTAAGTTTTTCCCTTGACTTTGCACAAAAAACGGTGAAAAGTATAGTAATTTAGTAGTTTTACCTGGAAAGTTTTTCGGGAGTTTTGTAAATTTTATAGGTTCAGACGTATTCTTTCCGAATTTCTACTTTGCCATCTCGTATTTTTGCCGCTCGTGCCGCCATATTGAAAAATTTCGCCAAAAAAACAGGTTTTTCACAATATCTCCTTTGTTTCTCATTAACATGAAAATATAGTTATGTATTATCTAAATTAAATAGAGAAAATTTTCCTATAATTAACCTTTTTATTGTGTAAAATGAATAGTTTCAGCGTACGAGGGCGACAAACCAACATACAGCTACACCAACACGTGTTTGTCGTATATTATCGTATATTTCGCCACGTATTTGAGAACCGGTTTACTAGGGTCTGTGCTTCCTTCGCAGGTAATAAGGGAACGTACTGCCATGGCGTGGAACCCCCCTCTCTCCATTCTACGAGCCATCTGCTGGCGGAGTTCAAAGTTCAAGTATTTTGTTCGAATCATCAGTACCTACCTAAATGTTTATTGTTCTAGTGTCGTTTGTATTTTTATAGTCGTAATTCAAGGAAGTAAACTGTTTTATTTGTGAAGATCCATTGCAAGGAAATGAAGTGAAGGATTATCTTGTTTTTTCTCAAGTCAAGTGCTCAAAAAAAAGGACAACAAAAGTAAACTCTTGGACAGACTAATATTGATAGTGCTAGATGTATGTCGAAAACGATATAATAACGAGAAATCAATTGGTGCATCTTTACGTATAGGAAGCGATGGCGTCATTTCTCATCCACAACTGCGATCCACGTAGCAAACATTCTCATTCAGAGATCAGTGTTTTTTTAGGCGCTGCTGAGATATCAGCAGTTACTGACGGAAGCCTAGTACTACCACAACAAATCGACGACGAAGCTGTTAATCCCATCGAGGATGATGTGGAAGAAACTATCTGTAGCGATTCGATCAGTTCTGAAGACGATATCGATAAACCGCAACACCTAGTTCATCAAGAATAGCGAAGCGATGGAGAATGCGCTAAATATTGTAATAATCCATTGCATGTGGATTAGGCCTACTGGATACCACGATAAAAAAAACCGCGCCACTTACTCTACCTCATCGTGGTGTGGAAATGAGTTTTTTGGCCAAAACGCGTGTTGAGTCGACTTTGCAGCACGCGCACGCTAAAACTAGGTTCTCATTTTCACTTCCCTCGGTAAAGGGAAGTATTTGTCTCATCCTAGAACAACGATTTTTGGTATACACTTTGAATCCCTACCATCAGCGCTAATGTAAGGGTTTTTGTTCGCAGATATACAGGGTGTTCCAAAAACCATGCGACACTAACAAGAACGGTTAATAATACGAAGTTGGTTACATTAGCAAGAAGGTAGGTACTGTTCTTGGAACTCACTAAAGCTACGTTTTTGTCGGTTTTTTTTATTCCTTTTTCAAGATATAAGGCCCTTTGTGTTCAAACATATTTGGTCGTTCACCGGCTCTACAAAATTGGGACCTGGAAGTTTCAATCCGACGTTTCGCTTTCGGTGTGTCATCATCAACTTTCTATTTCTAAATACTGAGTTAGGATTTTATTTTATTTTTCAATTAAAAAAAAAAAACAGTTGAATGATGTTTATTCAGAAAAGGGTGGGGTGGTTTGCTGAGGAAAGTCAAGGGTAAAGGCCTTTACCAATTTTTATAACTATTTTTATATTAATGAGAAGGAAAGGAGATATTGTGAAAAACCTGTTTTTTTGGCGAACTTTTTCAATATGGCGACGCGAGCGGCAAAAATACGAGGTGGCAAAGTAGAAATTCGGAAAGAACACGTCTAAACCAATAAAATTTTCAAAACTCCCGAAAAACTTTCCAGGTAAAACTACCAAATTACTATACTTTCCACCGTTTTTTGTGCAAAGTTAAGGGAAAATCTTAATATCTCAAAATTATAATGAGATAGATACGGCAAATATGATATTTTCTGAAAGAGGACATTTTCAGCTTTTCGATATAAAAATAATATACGGGGTGTTGTATTTGAACAACTCTATTAAAATGGACTTTAAAATTGACGTGTTCAGACAAATATTATGGACACCCTGTATACTTAAATCGAAAAATGAAGATATTCTAGGAGCAACTAGGCTAACATTAGATTACATGTAAATTTTCAAGAGAAATTAATGTACAGTGGCGGAGATATGACAATTTTAAAAAAGTATGTCTTGTTCCATTTTTTTCTTCGAAAAATCATAACTTGGCAACGCCGCATTCAACCCAAACACGATTTTAAAGTTGAATACAGAGCATATAGATGCTTCATTTGTCACATAAAAATACACGGTATTCCATTTAAGAAAAACATAAAAGTTGTGATTACTCTTTTTTGAGACACTCTGTATACTTGAAAATAATTATGGGTTATAGCAGAGATGAAATGCTAAAACTTTAATACAGAACATTTTTCCATAAGTTCAACGGTTTAGCTACTATTGACCGAGGCGCGCTTGTTGGACTACCCTGTATACCTGTCAACTTAGGTAACTCAATAATAGGCAATTTGACTCCTGGCTTTCCCATTATGTCTAAAGCAAGTTCTGCTGCTCCTATGAGCATGAGTTGATGCTGAAATTGCTTGCTTCATGGTTGTGAGTAAATGCTTCGCTTCAGGAGTTGTAACATAATAAAAACTTTCAACCATTTTGTTTGACTAGATAGAATTAGATAATTATTATTGAAAATAAATCCACCAGATGAAAAACGAATTAATACTTAGACTGCGGGACACCTGGATGTATAGTCAATGAGCATGGAATCACGATATTTGCATCGAAGTAACGAGGAAAAGGTAAAGGAAATACAAAAAAGTTTCAAGACACTATATATTAGCACAATATTTTATTTTTTCAAACTTAATTAATATTAGAAAAATAAAAAAATAATAAAACTAACTATTTATATGTCGTATAACTAAGTAAATATCATATGCGATATCTACAATAAGTGGACGTTGAAGCCAATTTGCCAATATCTTTCTCACCAGCAATCTAAGTGCCGAATACATTACTTCGACTTATGGACATTCAAGTTCATCTTTGGTATTCAAGACCAATAGACTGATTTTTTAGATGATTGTCGTTTAACATAGGCTTACAATATTACTTAAAGTAGATACAGTTTCTGCAGAAAAGTCATGAGGTAGACTAATAAAGACAAACCAAAGGTGAAACTATCTATTTTCTCTTTGCAAAATCCTCTGTATCTCAGTCAAAGTCTTGCCTTTAGTTTCAAACATAACAAAATGTACGAAAAAATATCCGAGCAAACAAAATATAGCAAAGGCCCAAAATCCTGCAGCTTGCCCCAAGGCCTCATTGACAATGGGGAATAGAAAAGTTACCAAACAAGCTGTCACAAATGACATCGTGGTTGTTAATGCAGCTGCAAGGCCTTTGACGTTCGATGGCAAAATTTCCCCCATAACTGCCCATGGTAAGGGACCTAATCCACAACTAAAGGTTACCATGTAAATGAGGACGCAGGTGATTGGTAGCCAGAAAATTGGCACTACATCATAATTGTGGTCTTTGAGGTAGAAATAGACTCCCAAAGCAGTCATAGATAAAAAGCAGAACACGCAGCAATTCAAAATTAGAAATTTGCGGCCTAAACGTTCTACCATGAAAATGCAAGCTGTATTTGAACTAATTTGTACAGCTCCTGTGATAAGAGTACTGATGTTGGGTGAAATGGAAGTACCAGCAGCCAAATATATTGGTTTCAAGTAGGACAAAAGTGGAGATATTCCAGCTAATTGCTGGAGAGATACTAAAAGAACAGAAATATACAAAGCCTTCCTTCCCGCAGGGGCCATAAACAAATCTTTGATTCCAGCAGAATTTTGATTTTGTTCTTCAATACCTTGTTTTATTTCTGTTAGTTCTGCCCTTATATCACTCCCTTTGTGTCTTAATTTTCTCAAAGCCTTATCAGCTTGGTCGTAGTCACCAAGAGCAGCCAGATAATAGGGCGACTCGGGCATAAAAACAGTAAATACTATTATAAATAAACATAACGGTACAGCGCAAGTAATTGAAAATATTGTTATTGACAAATAAGGACCTACTGAAAAAGGATAGGTACAGCCTATAGTAATTAAGATTCCTGCCGAGCTGCCATATTTGCCTCTGTTGTGGGTTTGGGCAATTTCTCCAATGTACATTGGTACTACGGTGAAGGCGCTGCCTGTGCCAATACCGACCAGGAACCTGAAAAACAGAATTTTATATTATATTTAAGTGTTTAAATTTAAAATAGTTTTGGTTATTGGTGTGTTAAACAAAAATAATAGTATGAATAAGTAGACGATATTGCTTATAATTAAGAAGTGAAATCATTACTATTGAGTTTTGGAATAGATATGTTCTTAGTAATGATAGTTTTATGGCAGTGACGCCATCGTTGGCATCACTATAGTCGGACCACCGAAGAAATATAGCAATAAAACCGGGCGCTAAACCTTCGAGGGTTCTGACAGGCAATAGACGAGCGGGTTTTCACCCACTTTATACCTTCTCATGATTAATCAAATTTAATAAAAGCATGAATTCATTTTATCAGTATGTGAGTATATGCATGAATGCGATTCCAATAAATTATTTTGGGTTAAAATTAGAATGAAAATCTATATACCTAATTTTAAGTATTCTCTAATTCAGGTAACCTATATAATTATTAGCTCATTATGGAATATAAATTTTCTAGTTTCGAGAGTTAAATGAAGAGATCCTCGGAGTTTCTTTTAAAAAAGATTTTATTTTCACTAAGTCCTAAACTACGTTACAGGAATGCCTTAATCGTAACTAATTCTAAGGTGAACAATCAACCGAACAGCGAGTCTAGCTTTGACACGGAATAATGTTAATGTTATTATTGCAACAATTGTATATATAAGGTATAAATGCATAATCAGCAATAATTAGCTATTCTAGGGATATGACTCCTCCGCCCTCAGATTTTTCAACGTCCTCGTTGATGATTTTCTGGAGTGTCTTCACAGGAATGGCCTTAAGGTATCTATGTTTCCTCCACTGGTACAGAGCTATGCTAATACTACATATAAGGATAATACATACAGTAGTAAACATAAAATAATAGTAACTTTGTGTTTGAGGAATGAGTTCTTCAAATTTTATAGGATATAAAAGGTCTTCTTGGATCTTCGCTGGGTCCTCTAGGTGTTTGATTTGAAGATTAATGGAGAAGTTTGTTGGTTGAAGATTGAGGGTTTCAGGATATTGTATAATAGATACATTATTTACAGCTAAAGAATATTTGCGATGATTGATTATAACGTCGCATTGGCTTTGTATAAGAGAACAATTCTGTACATTTAATTTTTGAAACTGAAAGCAGTTTTCGTAGATTATTTCGGAATTTTTTGAACAAAACAATAGTGAGTTTTTATAAGTTAACGCATGAACTTGATAATTATTTTGCACAATAGCGTATTGACAATTATTTGGTAAAAAACAGCTGTTGATGAGTGGATCAGAACATACCCATCTTGAATTAATTTGTTCACAGTTTCTATACCATAAATCGTCACAGTAAAATTTGCTAGGACTAATTAAAATTTTTGACTCATTACTTGGTATAGGGTAGATAAACTTCAAGTTACATACATTCTTTTCAAATATTGGTATTTTAATTGCGAGAATTGCCATTTCGTCTAATATTAAAAGACCGGTTTTGCAAATAAGACTTAGTTCTGAAATATGCTTAATGGGCCAAAGGGTGTTTTTTGGGTGGTGTAGGTTTAAATATTGCCAAATTTCATTAATTTCCTCTAAGCTCAAAATTTCGAGGTCTAACGTCCTTAAATGTGCAAAGGAGAAAATTCTTAATAGTTTTTCTAAGAAGTGATTCAGGCTGGTTATCTGGATATATTGATCCTCAATGGATAATATTAGATTTATGTCGTTGTTTATTTTTGAAAACTCAGACCTAATACTTTCTGAATTTTGATTTAAAATTTTTATGTTCTCTTGATACTTATTCATAATATTTCCTGCGAATGAACTGAGGTCATTTATCTTATGCATGGTATTTAATTGGTTGTGTTTAATAATTTCTAAATTCTCGGTAATGGTCTCTAAGTCGTTATTGTCTAGGTTTCCTGTGACGAACTTGATACCAGTACCAATAAAGTTCATTAGACCGCGTTTCTTGCGATTAGGTTCAAAGACATTCAATTTTGCATATGTTTCAAAAGTATTGTTTAATGTTTTAGATAAATGGGAAAATTGTGTCCTTGTAAAATTGTTATTTTGATTATTCACTAAATGCTGTAATATTAGAACATTACTAGTTAGTTGAGATAATGTAAACTTAATGCTAGATATATTGAAGGGTATATACGTTGTATGATAATAACTAATAGTAAGGGATGTTGCCACTTCTTCTTCATAGTAACCATTATTACGAAGTTTGTAGACCTGAAGGGCCTGGTAAGGGCTCACATGAGCCTGCAGGATCAGGATCGGGAGGCTGAAAAGAAACAGGATTTTTTCTGAGTCTTTTTAATTTCCTCATGTGCGTGGTTACGGGTTGTTTTTTGGAAATGCCTGTTATTTTATTCCTATCCACTGCCGTTACTTTTGTTTTAATATATTGGGGGTTTATTTTATTTCTAAGGGGGTTCCTTTTAAATACTGTTTGATTTGTTTTTATGCTTGGGGGTTCCTCGATGTTTTTGTTTTGTTTTTGTGTATTGTGTACTTGTCTGTTGTATGTGGTTTTAAAAATGTGATCGTGAAATGGTAGCAACTCTTTTTTTCGTTTCTCATTATATTGCTCAAAAAGTGTTAGGTCATTGTTTATAGTGGACTCATTAATATAGGGACCATATAGGATAGAGAATGGGGAATGACCTGTGGTCGTATGGATGCTTTGGTTGTAGATTAAAATCGCTGAAATCATAAGATTTTGAGGGGTTTCCTCTGGATTTTGCATTTTCAGTATTCTGAGTTTTTCCAGAATAGTGGAATGAAGTCTTTCAACAGGGCTGTTGGAAGATGAATTTCCGGGAGTTGTATAGTGAACTTCAATGTTAAAAAGTTGAAAAAATTCTTTAAAAACGTTATTTTGGAATTCCTTCCCTTGATCGGAGACGATCTTTTGAGGTAGGTTATGGTGTGAAAAATAGTGTCTCAATTTGCTGAGTATAGTGATAGAATTTTTATCAGGTATGTGATAGGCTTGGGCGTATTTTGAGAAAGAGTCGATGATAGTGAGAAATTGGCAATTTGAAAATTGAAAGATATCTAAGTGAATCGTTTTGAAGGGTTTCTCTGCAAGCAATGGACCTTCGTACGCGATTTTATATGGATGTCTTTCATATTTTCCTTGGAGACAGATTTCACAGACGTTTACATAGTTTGTTATTGCGTCTCTCAGTTTAGGCCAGTAGTACTTTTGTTTCAGATGGTTATAAGTTTCATTGATGCCGTTATGATTGTTTTTATGGTAATTTGCAATTATTTCTCTTTGTTGTTCTTCACTGGGGACATCCGTTAAGTAAGTATTGGACATTATTAGTTTTGCTGAGTTGTTTAGATTTGCGGAAATTATTCTTTGGAATTCTATTTTCAGCTCTTGGTTAGGTATAAAAATCGTAAAAGTGCGGTCAGGCTTTATAATTTCTTTAATGATTTTTATAATGTGTTCCTGTCTTTCTTCTTTGCAAATTCTTACAAAGTGGTGGTTTTTCTGAAAAGGTTTGGAAAAAGTGTGCTTGAAACTATCGCCGTAGTCTATTACAAGGCGATTCGTAGCATAATTTAAGGGTAATTCGGAAATTGGTAAGTATTTTCCTTGGGTATCGTTGTTCGAGTGTACTGTAATGTCGGAATTGTCGTCATTCCCTTCTGGATTTGTGGGTGTGGTAGTGTCTTGGGGTTTTTCGTTTTCGACTTCATTGTATTTTTCATTAAGGACGTAGTCCATAAGGTCAAATTCGGCGAGATCGGCGACTGTTTCATCGGCGTTAGGAATGCACGATTCTGCATCATTGTTGTTGTTTTTCTTTGTTTCGTTGGTGTTAAGTTCGATGCGTGATAATGCGTCAGCGACGACATTTTCTTTACCTTTTTTGTATTTGGTTTCGAAATTAAACTCTTCGAGTTGTAGTTTCCAACGTATAAGACGAGCATTGGGTTCTTTGACCTTTGTGAGCCATACCAGGGGGTTGTGATCTGTTTCGACAGTAAACTTGACGCCATATAAGTAGCACCGAAAATGCTTGACGGAATTAACGATCGAGAGAAGCTCGCGTTCAATAGTGGAGTAATTTTTCTCAGCAGAATTTAGAGTACGTGAGTAAAATGCAATGGGGTGGTTGTTCTGAGATAGGACGCTACCTATAGCGATATTTGAAGCATCGGTCGTCAGTGTGAATGGTTTGCTGAAATCGGGATATTGAAGAACGGGGGAATTACTAATTAGTTCTTTGCATTTTGAAAAGGCTTCTTGATAATCCGTATTACCAATACATTTTTCGCTGCCCTTTCTGAGACATTTTGTGATTGGAAATGTAATTCTTGAAAAATTCTTTATAAATCTTCTGTAGTAACCTACCAATCCCAAAAAAGCTTTGATTTCTTTTTGCGTTTTTGGCATGGGGTACTTCTGGATTGCTTCGATTTTTGAAGGATTGGGTTTTATTCCCTCAGGAGTTATTATATGACCTAAGAATGCGACCTCTTTTGATAAGAATTCTGACTTGGATGGTTGGATTTTTAGATTTACTTTTCTGAATAAATTAAAGATTTTTCGAATATGATCCAGGTGTTCGGAAAGAGATTTGGAAAAAATGACAACGTCGTCCATGTAAACGAAGCAGAATTTGTAGAGATAATCTCTCAAGACTTCATCCATCATCCTTTGGAAGGTTGCGGGCGCGTTTTTAAGGCCAAACGGCATGCGCAGATATTCATAGTGGCCGTTATTGACAGTGAATGCTGTTTTTTCGATTGAATTGGGATGCATTTCAATCTGATGAAAACCCTGGGCCAAGTCTAAGGTAGAAAAATAGGTACACTTGCCAAGACTGTCTAAGATCTCCTCGATTCTGGGAAGCGGATACTTTTCCTCAATAGTGACGTCATCGTTAAGTCGACGATAGTCGATCACCATCCTAAATTTCCGTTTGCCAGAAGCGTCTGGTTTCTTTGGAACGATCCAGACTGGGGCAGAGTAAGGAGAAATC